CGGAGTTACTCGTAGTGATGTACATGCCGGACAATACCCGGAGTTACTCGTAGTGATGTACATGCCGGACAAATATCCGGAGGTACTTGTCGTGATGTACATGCCGGACAAGTACCCGGAGTTACTTGTCGTGATGTACATACCGGACAAATACCCGGAGTTACTTGTCGTGGTGTACATGCTGGACAAATACCCAGAGTTGCTTGTCGTGATATAGTTGCCGGTCAAATACCCGGAATTACTTGTCGTGATGTACATGCCGGAGAAATACCCGGAGGTACTTGTCGTGATGTCCATGCCGGACAAATACCCGGAGGTACTTGTCGTGATATACATGCCGGAGAAATACCCGTAGGTACTTGTCGTGATATACATACCGGAGATATACCCGTAGGTACTTGTCGTGGTGTACATGGGGGACAAATATCTGGAATTACTTGTCGTGATACGACCATCAGTACATGTTTTTTAACGGATAAATACATTTCCATCTATAACCTTGCAACGCTATTATCAGCCCTGGATAAAGTAGTGACACACATCTGTAGAGGAAAAGTTAGACAATCGAGTTTGGTTTTTGGTTATTCAAAACTAGTAATTTTACATGGTGTAACACACTGAAGTTAGCTTGTTTGTCAGGTTTTTATTCTTGTTTTTTCTTTGTAATTTAACTACTAGTTTTGAATTCGAAAGTTTTGTTAGCACAAACATTCACTGAGTTTGTTTAACATTTTAGCTTCTATACTTAAGGATAAGTTTGGGTCTGGTACATTAGCTGAGCTATAGGATAATTGACTTCGACATCTTTGTTTCTGCTCCCTTTCTCTGTTCCATTTTCATTATGCAGTTGACCACAATTAGTATAATCCTTTTTTGCAGACAATGCGTATTACTTGCATTGGAGATATCAGGCTTAACAGATACAGTCTTGTTTCTGTACCCTAAAGTGTGAAAAAATCAAATCTTGATAAACGGCTGGAAATACGGTAATTAGCATTGATGTTGTTTTAAACCCGTCGCAACTCTCCGTTAACTTGTAGTTTGTTTGCTGTTAAGCTCAAAGCTACACGAACTGTGCCCACCACAGGTATCGAAACCCGATTTTGAGCGTTACAAGCCGTCAGCCTTACCACTGAGTCACTGGGGGGCGTACTTGTATTAATTCATAGATAATCTCGGTAGCCCTAAAGAAGTTTTTATACTTGAGATAAACAGTGAAGAAGATGCTAAAAATTGATATTGTATAAATGCTTTTTATTAAAAGGGAACGTTTGATATGTATCTATTATTAATATTTATTCATTTGTGAAATTAATTTTTTTTTAAACAGTAACACGTATTCTTTAGATAAATTTAGTGATCCCTAGGTTAAAAATGTGGCTGGCAAAATCACGTAATCCCTACACTTGTATTAACATATTCACAGCTAAATTATTGGATAATATTTTATGCAAGAACACGATCTTTATAAAGTAAATTTCAGCTGTCAAAAACCTTCATTATCACTTATTTCAAATTCTACTTTCCAGCCCAACTAAACGCCGTAGAGTGTATTCCTTTAATTGTGGGTGGTGTAAGTTATCAAAATGTGCCATTATAGAATAGCTCTAGGTTCCACTAGTAATGGCTTTAATAAGTAGTCAAATATTTCTTAGTTGGTGAAAATTTCAAACACGTTTCCTTAGTAAAGGGCGTGCCAAATTCACTTGTCCATAAATCTCACTGTCCCTTATGTCAGGCAGTTGTAATACATAAGACTTCGCATGCTATATGTCGAAGAGCAATATTTTGATAAGGATATGGTTGTACAGCTTTTTTGATGACTGTATGTCTATATTTTAGGTACTTAGAACTTCCCGTATCTAATTAACTAATGACTGTAAACAGTGAGTGAGAACTGTTGAGACCTTTGTTTGATATATAGTAGACATGCTGTGATTTTACAATGTACCTCTAACATACATGCATTGCTTTACCTGTCACATCTGTGAAAACCACGAACAGAGGAGAAAAACGTATTGTTTGTATGTTTAATCATATATACACAAGAGAAAAGGAATGTAAGATTTAACAATAAATGTGAATCTTTATTGTAAGTTTTGTATGTCGTGGTGCAGGCTGAATTTTTACATAACCTCAAATAATTAAATATAATTTATAGATAACCATTTTTGAATAAACGTTTCTAAAACACACATTAATACTTAAACGAGTAAATAAATAGATTAGATCCCCCCCCTTTGTTACCCTAATGCCGACTAGATTGGGGTCGGCCGGTATTTTTCTAAGCCAATAATTCTTACACCAAGGAAGCTGGCCCAGTCAGTAACCCTATAGGCTGAGCATTTTCGGTGACAGGGATTCGAACTTGTGACCCTCAAATTGCTAGTCGAGTGCCCTAACTACCAGGCCCAGATTAGATTAAC